CAAGCTGGCAGAGGGTAAATTCAGACTAGACATCAGGAGGTGCTACTTCACTGTCAGGGCGGCTAGGATCTGGAACCAACTTCCAAGAGAAGTGGTTCTGGCTCCTACCCTGGGGGTCTTTAAGAGGAGGCTAGATGATCACCTTGCTGTGGTTGTTTGACCCCAGTACTTTTTCCTGCCATGGCAGGGGGTTGGACTTGATGATATGCTCAGGTCCCTTCCAACCCTACAAACTATAAAACTATGAAACTATAACTGTTTTGGACAACCACATTTGGCAAGGCCCAACACTGCTTTTGCTCCTACAAATTGTATTCCCTTTTCCTCCAAGATTAAGTAGTTTGTATGCATTGAAACTAAAGTCTGCATTCAAGAACTGCTCAGACCTTCTTTGTGCAATTTTTGTTGCTTATATTTAAAAAGGTAGGATCGAAAAATTGAGTATTGCAGTTAGTCTCTAAAACAAAAGTTGTGAGCCACTAATAAGTAGGCTTTGTTCAGAATAAGATGTGTAGATGTAGGTGCAAACAAACACCACACATCTACACACACAAAGATTTTGGATTTTGATTTTGTAACTCAGACTCAGTTACAGCTTCATTTCTAACATCTTTGTAAGCTGAGTATTAAAAGCATGAGCATAAGATTAATGATTTTAGGTCTCTTAAAACAAAAGATATTTAAAGATAATGCACCGTTCCTTAACTTAGAAATGGCTTATTTATATGATATTTCAGTTTTGTATTACAACTAAGAACTTATCCACCCACTTTTGATACAGAAAAGCTGTTTTGCCTAAAAGAACCCAGCTTTATTATAGTAAAGGGGCAAGATAATTTTAGGATTAGAACATGAAACTAAATCTGGTGCTACGGAACCTATGTCACAGATTCCATGTGTTCCAGTGAACTAGCCATATTATCTTGCTCCTAGTCTCTCTACACTGCAGTTAGGAGGTGTGAATGCACTATGTTTAGGTGAACATAAGCCAATTTTAATCTAGTTAACTTGATACTAATAGAAATGATAAAATAGTTAGCAATACAGGTTTCAGCACAGAGAGTTTCTCTGTGTAAGTATGCAGAGTATGCAAGTATCCTTGGCAGGTGTGCCTGGCCTGTGATGAAGTCTTGTTCTGCATCTGCTTCTGGTACCTAAGCTAGCTACAGTAAAGCTGTCTCATGTATGTCTTCCCATGCTTCAGTCTCACTGCTATCTGCAGTTTTGCCATGTCCTATCTATCTATCTTAGATACAGGGAAGCTGAGGGTATATCCTTCAGTGCTTTCAGATTCATTGCTGCAAGGCTTTACCAAGTGTTTGTGTTCTGACTATGCAATTAGCTATTTATTTTATCTCAAATTAGGACCACTCATTTTCAACATGTGTCAGTGCATTTCCTGGATATACTTACTGAATTTCTGAACGTGCATAAATTGTCCCTGTGTCTTACAAGAACTGTGCTGACCATCCAGTCTGGTACAGAAGTTAAGTGCGACTTTTGCTTTTTGTTACAGAGTGGTACCCTGCATGGCATAAATGGCAGGGACAGGGTAGATAGGGTACTATGTCACAGGGCTGGACACAGAAAGTGAACCTTAGTTAGTGTTGGAGTCTCATTTGTCCAGTGCTGAATATACCTGCAGTATATTTCAGTCAGTCAGTAAGTTTGATAAGAAAGAGTCACCATGATACAGCTATGTTCTAATAGAAAAAAATAAAAACAGGAAACCATAGTTCAGATGTCATTAATGCCAAGACTCCTATGGACCTTCAGTCTGGAACTTTTAAAGTAAATTTCACCTACTCCAATTGGAGAGATTCAAAATTGGAGTTATATGTCTATCTTTTTTTCCCCCAGCTTGCTGATACTTCTGGAAAGAAAAAAATGTGTTTGGGCCAAAAATGCTATTTACCTATGGAGCATTTACAAGATATCAAAGAAAAATTATAGGGCTCACAAAATGAGGAGTCATTTCAAATCAACAGCAACAAAAAAGTTTTGTTTGCATTATATTACAATAAGGTCTCTAAAGTTAAACCAGTTTTAAAACACCCTAAATGGGAGGAAACTCAAACCTCTTTTTGTAGTGATCAGGAGCCCCAGTGCTCCAGCATTGACTGTAACCACAGAAGCCAGTTCTTGCTCCATAGGCGAAGTACAGACAGTCAGAAAGCTTGAGGCTGAATCAATTCAATCTTTGCAGGTAAATTTAAGCTGAAGAGATTGAACCAATAAGCAAGTGAACAGACATTCACATTTGATTCTGGAAATGCAGCCACATGCCTGCAGTGGCTCAGGCAAGAAGCTGGGGAGTGCTAGAGCATGCCTTGTTGCTTGGTTGGAGCAGACAGCTTGGGCTAAAACTAGCCTGCCCAGCCTGTGAGGGGTGGGGTTTGCTAGGGAGGTGCAAAACATCCTGAGATGCCAGAGGACTGCTAGTTAACTTGAATCTGGAGGGGATCTGGGATAGAAGTTGAATAAACAGATTTAACCTAAATCAGTTAAATCTGATACTACATCCATCCAGGTTTATCTTACACCGGTTTTGGCCATTTTGGCTAGGGACAGAAGTTACACATAAACTGGTTTAAGTGATCAGAAATTGATTTGAACCTGTAGCAGAACAGAAGTTCAGTGTACATAAACCAGTTTCAAAATGGCTGAAACTGTTATAAGATAAACCTGGTTGAATGTAGTACCAGACTTAACTGATTTGCAGCCTTGAGCTGGGATGGGATGTGCTGCCTGCTCCAGAGAGCAGGGCTGGTTCCACCTCTCTGCCCCCTAGCTGGAGCAGTGAGGGCTAGCTCACTGGCCTCACTGGCTGGCCCTCAGGCAAACTCTAGCCAGGGTCTGGGGTCAGAGAGGGGAGTTAAACTCACCTTCCCCCCAAGTACAGAGTTGCCTGGCCCTGCTGGTTTACTTAGTGCTGGATGCAACTGTGGACTACAAATACCAGAGGCACCTGGAAGCAGGAAGAGGAAGTGATGAGCAACCCAGCAGAGTCCTGTTCCTGTGATTGTGGACTGCAAATCCCAGAGACCTTGGGGGCAGCAGGAAAATGAAGCAAACAGACAACCCATGCTGGCTACGTGCCAGAGAGCTATGTTCTAGTGCCCCCTGGCTTCTGGCTTGAGCCACTGCAGGCATGTGGCTCCATTTCCTAAATCAAAAATGAATGTCTGTTCATTTGCTTATTGATTCAATCTTTGCAGCTTAGACTAACTTGCAAAGACTGAATCAACTCAGCCTCGGGCTTTTTGACTGTCTGTATTTAGCCTTTGACAGCAGTTTATGTATACTGAACTTCTGTTGTTACAGATTTGAACCAGTTTCCGATCACTTATACCACTTTATGTATAATTTCTGTCTCTAACCATAGAGCTGACAATACAGACATAAGAGAAAAAAATGTTTCCATTTTATCAGTTGGTAACTGAAGCATAGGTAGATTGCATGACTTGCCCAACACTACACAGAGAGCACCTGGCAGTGGTTGGCATTGCTTTTAAAATGTCAAAAAAAACCCTAAAAATTCACAATGAAAGAAAAAATTGTGAAATATTTCACGGTCACCAAATATGCATTATTCATCAAAAATGGTGTCACCCAAAGTTTTCTCCCAGCTCCATGGTAACACCATTGAAAGATATATTACCCCTTATGTAAAGTACAGAATATATCCTTCCAACTTAGAGTACAACAGGTTCAAGATTTGGGTCTAAATACGCAGAACTTATGTAGTCATGTAACAGCAATTTTTGGCACTTATGCACACTTTGGATTCCATTTAGCTACATTCACTCTGCTTTCCTACTGAGCCTGCTTAATAGGCTGCACTGGGGATGCTATATGTGCCATCCATATGCATATTGTTGGGTAAGTCCCAAAACTTTAGTTGCAGAGGAGCCATAACTAGCAGGTGTTTGGTATTAGAGGAGGGAGACAACCCTCCAAACTTTTAACCCAATAGCTGAGTGATCAGGGTACTTACCCAGGTTCTAAGCAAAAGAAGGAATTTGACCCTGTGCTGCCTGCTTCCCAAAATGCTCTTACCTCCAAGTCACAGGGTAGGTATTGCCCAAAGTATTCTCCAGCCGTCTTTTTGAAGCTGACCCACTGGACAGCCAGAGAATGAAGATCTGTGGGGCCAGGATGAAGAGAACCAGATGGCTCAATGACATGGCTGCTTTTCCTGGCAAGGAAGAGATCCTGGGTTCCAGCCCAGGCCCCTATCCCCAAATAGGAAAGAAACTATCTTGCTCCTGTTTATCTAATGAATATTTAATGCAAGAAGCAGTAAGATAGCTTCCAGAAGAAGGCTGGAGTGTGTTTCCTTAAGGGAGAAATCTGTTAGACTTCAAAATAGTTTCTGAGGTAATGTAACTATTCCTATACCACACTACTCTAAATAAGACATACACCTCATTTTGAGGAGGAAGAAAAAAATGGCTGGGATGTAGACAGTCTTACTTGCAACTGAAGGCTCTGGACAGTAAAAGCAGAGTACTCTCATCAACCTCCCCCCTCCTCCCCCCTATGTGTTGCTGCTGCTGCTACTGCTACAGCAGTAAGTAGGTAGGCTGACACTATAGGTAGGCTGATACTGTAAAAGCCTTAATTTAGCAGTGGCTGTGAGAGGGTTAGACCAGTCCTGTTGATCACGTAACTGGGAGGGGGACAGTGAAGCTGAGGAGAGGATTCCTGCCCCAGCTTGGAGCCCAAACTTTCAGCCACTGAAGAAATCAATTTCCTTAAGACACCCCCCCACACACACACAATTTCCTATAGCTAATTTTGGGGGAAAAGGTGTGCGTCCTATGCAAATAAATAAGGTAAGCTGATGAAGATCCTATTGTTTGAGTAGTTTAAACTAAGTTAGACAAGGTCCTAGAATCTTGTGAGACATGAAACATTTAACAAATACAGTGTGCATACACCAGATAAAAGATGACGAGGTATGTCTGGAAATTATAAGCAGTAAAGGCTCATACTACCTTGGGCATTGGAAATTCACAAGCCCCTGCACAGTAATAGGCATCAAATGATTTGGGAGATATGATCCATTCATTCCAGCCAATATCAGCAAAGTCAACTTTCATGTATCTTCTAGAGCAAATCCTAGGCTCATTCCATTGTTTCCGTCTTGCTTTCTTCATTGTTTTCTCATCAAAATTCAGCATCTGAGATTTTGTGAGTGTTTCAGTATTTTCATGCCCTTTCCTCCTGCGATCCTTACGTGAGGTTCTTGGTTTTAGGGACTTGTAGGCACTTTCCCATATGTCTTGTTTATTGTAATCATTGTTGATATATTCCACCTCAGGCAACTCGTTGTTCTGGATGGAGCTGGAAAGGTATGTGTCCCTCCTCACGCGTGTGTCTGAAGAAGCATTGGGAGACAGGCTTGGGTCTCTGTCACTGGAAGGGAAAGGGTCATATCGTTGGAGGGTGACTGCCACACTGTTAGGTTCAGCTATTGCTAAATCATTGGCATAAACAAGTATGTATGGAAAATGGCGAGCAACCTGCTCAGGTATTCCCTGGTATTTCTCTCCAGAGTCAAGTTCTGCACAGAGAATAAGTTCTCCAGCCAGCTTTGATTCATTTATGATGTGTGAGATGTCCTTCACTTGCCATGACCCCCGCCTTTGGGGAAACACAGTCACATTCCCTTTGACCAGCCCATAGGCAGAGTTCTGGGGGATGCTTTGGAAAATAAGGTTGAGCTTTGGGATCTGGGGCAAGTGGAGGAGGCGGCAAGATGAGTTCTTGGACCGCTTGCAGAACACTTCTCGATGGCGGGGGCGTTTGTCAGAATAAAAGTGAAACGTGGCAGCAAGGATCATCTCTGAATCCTGCATTGACGTCAGATTGAAGCAGTATAGGGGTTTCTGGGATAAAAGTTCTGCAAGAGAATGAATAAATGAGTAGATTAATGCTCAGAATGATCAAACTGTTTCTAAATAGTTGGACTTATGGACCTCAATCCCTTTTCACTTATCTCACTTTAAGCCAGATATTGCAATGACCGCAAAGGAGCTCCACAAGTATAAAGCCAGCATAAGTGGAAGGAGAATCAAGCTTCTGTTAGAAGCATCAAGGAACCCTAAAACTGAATGTAACCACAAGAGCTGGTTCTTGCCCCAGGGAGTTTACAATGCAGATAAATGAAAGAAGGATTGTCTTCATTGTACCCATGGATAACTGAAACACACAGAGATCAAGTAACTTGCCCAACTTTACAAAGCTGAGGAATGAACCCAGATCTTTTGAATCTTTGACCTGTGCCTTAACCCCCAGACTAGTCTTCCTCATTTCCTTCTGCTTTCCCCTATTCTTTCACTTACTGACAACAAAGAAGCAGAGAAACAGTCTCTCCTAATGCTCCCCTTCCTACTGTCCAGGCAGCATAAATAAGGAAGCACTATCACCAGTCGTTTCAGTGTTGCCTACTGCAATGTTCAACACTGTTTTAGGAACAGTGGGCCAAATTAACTCAGCTCACTCTGAAGATAGGCCACTGCTCCCTTTGCTGGTGCTGCTGCTCACCCCCACCTTACCCCCTCCTGCCACTCTGCTGCAGAATTGCTGATGTTGCCCCAGCTTTGCAGACTGACTGACATTGCTCAGTGGGCTGGATCTGGCCTGTAGCCCATAGGTTGCTTTCTCCCAGTATAGTGGGTAGAAAACTCCATTGAGATTTGGGAGAATTTTATTTTCTTCATGGCTCTGCTATTCACCTGCAGGTTGACCTGCAAGTGATTCTGCCTCTGTAAAATGGTGATAATGACTTTGTTTGTCAAGCAGTTGGACACAAACAGGACAGGAAAAAAACAGACAGACAAAGCTGCCTTCTTCAGGCTCTTGTCCTCCTCTGCACAAGCAATTTCTGGCTTTGTCTTTCTACCCCACCTGCTTTTGCTTACGAGATTTGCTTATGTTTCCCTAGATATCCTTCTTGTTGATCTGGCTACTTTGTGTAGGAAATAAAAGGACTATTTACCACTGAGAAGTGTCCCATGGAACTGCACAGAGTTGGCCAGCTGTGAAGCTAAGTCTATCCTGCTGTGACTGCATATAGTGAAGACAGCCAAGCTGGCTTTAAATAGTGAGCTCAGTACTGTTGGCAGTGTAGCCATGACGATATGGATTTCAGTGCAGGATACATTTGTGGGTAGCTGGCCAGGGCTGAGTTCTCTGCTGCCACAGCTACCTGTCTACAAGCAGCAGAGTCAGCTGGTTTGAAGCTAGTTAGGATAGGTCTACCTGACCTGTAGTCACACCTGGGACAGTGATGTACACATGAGGTTTCTTTCTGGACACTGGCCAAAGCCAAACCCACCTTGAGCTTTGGGGATATTTGGATCCAGCTCCAAACTTTGTGGTGCAGACCAACATCTACCAGATGGATGTTTAACAGGTGGTTGTATATCCGGTGCTCATCAGTCAAAATATGAAGGAGCCACTAGGGAATACTGAGCCAAATTGGGGAGAGTTTTCCTATCTGCTGGGGATGTTTTAGACTCTTTCCCAATGGGTGTCCCAAATGGCTCTTGACAGGATTCAGCTGCTAGGATTCAAACCTGATTTTTGATAATCTCTTTCTAACCAGTTGAAAGATCTGTGTTAGAATAGAAATGCCTTTGTAAATATGTTTTTGTACAAATGCACTTGATTCTTCAGTTAAATAGTTACTAGTATCATCTTCTAAATTCACCAGGAAGTTCTAGTGTATCCAATATTTAGGAGGCTGTATCTGAACACAAGTAACATCCAAAGCAGCAGAAAATGCCTTTGCAGCCTATTATCTATCAAAGCAAAGTTGTCATATTCCTCTTTCTTTCTTTCTTTTTTTCTGTTTACATAATCATAGCAAGACATTGCAGGATCATAAGGTTTCCAGTTTCCTTTCTAATTTACCTGTAGCCTAAGGTCTAAAGTATTTGAATTTTGAAGAGCAGAATGGATCTGAAAGATGTAAACATTAAAGGGAAATTTGGTCCTTTGATACCCATATGTATAGAGCTACTATTGATGACAATGGAAATGAAGAGTACACCTGAATTTAAATACAAAGAAAGGAGAAGGTTAGAGCAATTCAAGGGAGGACAAAGCAACAAGATGAAAAAGAACAAAGAAATATTTAGATTGATTATGAACAGTTTTCTCAGTCTACAGTTTAGTCTCAGGCAGTTCAACTTTCCTATACCCTCTTGAAATACGGTTAGGATTATTCTCTGATGTAATGCTCTTGCTATGATCTTGGAGCAAGGTTGTTGGTGTAAATGTCCTGATAGTCATAGTTCCACCTTTAATACCTCTAGTTTTTTGTTCAGCAGAATGACTTATTTTTATGTGGTTAGCCTAGTTTTTTTTATATGCCATATGAACAGATAATAATTGCCAGATAAAACCACCGTGCTTACAAGTGCCTGTGAATTAATGATTCATTAGAGTTTTTATTATAAGAGTTATCTTGTTTGCAGTAGGTGAGATTGAAGAACAGGCTTTCAAACTGTACAATTAATGTTAGTTTTCAACAACCCCTTCCCTGTCCTTCATACCTCAATTACAGGGGTTGCATTAATGGTAGCATCAAGAGGTCCCAAACAAGAGTCTTATACAACAGTAGATAGTCCTTGCCCAAAGAGCTTACAATAAGTAGACACAGGATTATCCACCCAATATTATAGATGGGAAATAGATGCAGTGAGAAACTGGTATACATAAGGGTACATCGGGTGCATCTACCCATCACCATACTGTGATGTTGCTATGGCGCCATACTTTACTACTTCCTTTTGGAAGTACTAAAGCATGGTACAGTATGGGCAGTTATGGCAATATGCGTGCAGTGTATGCTTATATTTTGCTGCTATGTCGCCATAGCGGCATAATAAAATGGGGAAGCATGCCACTATGGTGACAGCTAGGAATCACACATAGACCTGCATGATCGCTATGTCACTGTAGTGCACTGTATAGCGATGTAGCATGTCACTACATCATTGTAGGGTGATGTGTAGATTCACCTATAGGAGAGCTATGTCAGAGCCAGGAACTAGACCTGGATCTCCCAACCTTCGGTCCACTGCCATAAAGAAATTAAAGGTTTGTAGTGTATCAAGTAGAGCTCATGGGAACAGGGAACTTCCATTGCTCCAGAAAGGTTTACAATATCAACCTTTTGTTCTAATTCAAAATTTATGGGAAAATGGAACAATCTGCTTCAGCATCAGACAGCCACAGTCTGCCTGTCTTGTTTCCATGAAAGTGTTAAGGGAATTGACATGTGTCCACAGAATGTTTCACTTCTGTCAAATCGTCCTTTTCTGACCAATTTTCTATCAGAAATTTCTCAACCAGCTTTATCCTGACTATCCCAATGTAAAGTCTTGTGAAGGACAGCCCTCCAAAGACTCACACTTGATTTGGAAAGCTACTGGTAACTCTAATCTTTAGAATCTGGAACTCTCTCAAGAACAAGTTTTCCTATACTGCCAACCTTGACCAGAAGCAGAACCAAGGAGAGAACCATCTTAATACTTTCACTTTTTGTGGGACATAAGGCAGTTGTCAGAGTGAATCACTGCTCTACTCAAAATATCAAGTGAAAATAAGCAGCTCTGTCCCAATCCTTCCTAGTTCCTAGCATGACTGAAAGTTGTTAATTTACCTCCATAAAGTTCTGTGTGTCGGCTGTGCAGTCTATCCAGCTGCTTTTCTAGGCCAGGAGGTTTTAGCCTACCCTCCAGTAAGAGACTCTACAGCAGCTGTGTGATTTCAGACTGGAGATAGCTCTGGTGTTTCCATCTCACAGAGAATTCTGCCTATGGAAATCTAGTTTTCAAAGTGGAACAAAACTCAACATTTTCAAACTTCTCTGCAAAGTACAATGGGAGCCTGTAAGTCTTGGCACAGAGAAGCCAGGAAGGCTAGACATCCAGGCAACTGAGAAACCAGGCAGGTGGGCTGGCAAGAAGCCAGACAGATTTTTGATGGACCTTTTGTCAAAACTGTCACATCTCTGCAAATCACTTGTATTTAGACAAATCAGAAAATGTCACCAGAAAACCTTTGCTGAGATGATTCTGACCACATTTACTACAGACTTCGCTATTTAAGTGTCACACACTAAAGCTGCTAGCTATGCCTATAGATAAGATTACCTACCCCTCTCCATCATGTGACAGTTTTAAAGTTGCTTCTACCTTTGCCAAATTCTATCCATTTCAGTTGAACTTCTGTAGGCCAGTGACCACTTCAGGATGATTTACCACTATACTTTGGATGGCTAGGAAGAAGAGGAGGAAACTCCTGTGTGTGTGTGGAAAGGATGGGGAGAAGTCAAGCTACTGGGGTACATGCAAGAGGACAGAGAAGGGGAGACAGAGAAATAGTGTTCTGTTACCCCTAAAGCACACTTCCTCCAAAACCTGGATAGAGGCCACCTTCTAGCATCTGGGCCCCACAAAGAATAACTTGCTACTGCCATGAGTTACTTCAGGTTAGATTCCATAGGTGCATCCAGATGAGCATGCATGTGTGGTATGCGGTGCCGCAGACCCATCTGAGGAACCATACACTGTATATGCTGCACATGCGGGCATTTCCCGTGCTGCTAATTTGCAGTGGGGGGGGGGGGGGGGCAAGAGGTGTTTGACACTGGGTGATCCTGGTGTCAAAAAACCTGCAGTGGAAAAATGAGGGACAGCACATATGGTGGCAGCATGTGCTGCCTGAAACCGGAGCCTGGCTGGCTGGAGCCATGCTTCAGCTGCCAGCTAGGCTCCCTACTGCTGGATCACCACCGCTGGAGCCCTGGGAGGCCCCCAGGACCCCAGGTAAGGTTGCTGGGGCCAGCCCAGGTACTGGCCCCAGCCTTCCCACCTCCACCTGGGGCAACTTGCCACGCACCACAGCGCACAAGAGAAGGCTGAGAGGGGATCTGGTGGCTGTTTACAAGCTCACCAGGGCGGACCAGCGAGAATTGGGGGAGGCTCTGTTCCCCCAGGCACCAGCCGGGGTTACTAGGAATAACGGCCACAAATTGTTAGAGAGAAGGTTCAGACTGGACATCAGGAGACATTACTTTACAGTTAGGGCTGCCAGGCTCTGGAATGGGTTCCCACATGAGGTGGTACTCTCTCCTACCTTGGGAGTCTTCAAGAGGAGGCTGGACAGATAATTGGCTGGGGTGATATGACCACGGAACTCGTTCCTGCCTGGGGCAGGAGGTTGGACTTGATGATCTGTTTAGGTTCCTTCCGACCCTAAGCACTATGACACTATGACACATGTATGGGCATTCCCTGGGGACAAGCAGCAGCAGTACATATTGTGCTGCTGCTCTTTGTCCCCAGGGAAATGCACGTGTGCACTTGTCTGGACACTCTCCATTAGCTCAAATGCCAGGTGCATATGCTACAGATTTAAAAGTTTCAAAACTGAGCACTAATGTTCTCCATATTAGGAGAACAATATACTGCTACATATTTTTAGTGTTTTAAATCCCAGAAGTTACAGTAAAACCCCAAGTTACATTAAAATCCCAAATGTCAAGCACTCAAAACTACAAAAATGCTAGGATGAAGTTTTCCCATGTGACTTTAATTTGCATCTCTTGTGATAGCATTGCTGTTTTTTCTATCACAGAATCTCTGCCTCATTGCATGGGCTAGATGGGTCAGGGTAGATTTGCACCTTATAGAGTAACTAAATCAGATATGTGTAGCATAAACGTTCGTAAGCAAAGGGCTTACTTCATGAGATGCTGTGAAAGGACCTTTGCACAGGATAAATGAAAGGTTTTTCATGGCATTTGATGAAATCAGATGCTTATGAAAGACTATACTATACATTTCTGATTTAGTTACTCTGTAAGGTGCAGACCTACCCTGCTTTCTGTCTGACTTCAGACTAACATGGACTTCAGACTAACTAAGTGCTTCTCTCTGTTAATGGGAAAGAGTCAGACAATGTGCAGGATCCTTATTTCATTTCAGTGACATAACGGAGTTGGTGCTTGGTGCAAACCCTGTGGGAGACCATGGGTCCTGACCCTGCTCTTGGATCAGTGGACCATCTCCCCACCAGTTGTGCACCAATCTGAGAGCAGGTTTGGGAGGTGTAGGGGGGAAAGCAGCTTTATCCATGCTGGGACTCCTGCATAGTCCTGGCTGAGCTGCTGCTGCTGGTGTGCATGCTCTGCTGGCCTTGGCTGTTGCTCTTAAAGCAGCAGCAGCCAGGGACTAGTTTGGAGTTCCCAGCATGGCAATACCACCAGGGCATGGACTCTGCAGGGGTGGGGGTGATTCTATCAACCCTCCTACCTTGGCGTGTGGAGCAGGTGCCCCTCTCACCCATCTCTAGTTGCATTACTGTCTCATTTCTTCACAAAGTCTGAAATCGTGTAGTGGATGAAAGGCAGGGCTGCCAAGGCAGAGAAAATAGTCCGTGGTTTAGATAGATATTGGAAGCTGCACTGAGAAACTGAATTTTCCATCTTTGCCACAAAATTATATTGGATGCCAGTCAAGTGACAAGTGGAGCCTATGGGCCAAATTCTATTCCACCTATTAGGCATCTAAGTAGACTAAGTGCCGAAGTGCAATTCTGTTCCACTCTGTTCAAGTCCTGAAAATCCATTAATGCTTCTACTTTGGAACACATTGTTTTCGAGTTCTTACGACTAAATCACAAAAAACAGCGAGGAAGAAGAGTGGCAACCCACCTTTTGCATTAACTGTTGCTCAGGAACTTGAGCAGGGGGACTAGAATCACACTTAGACATCCAAAATTCAGTCATGTACCTAATAGATGGAAAAGAATCTGGCTTCACTTATCCAACCCTTTTTTTTGATTGCTCAAAATAAGGCGTATAGGGACAAATTAGTACAACTGTTGAGCACTTACAACTTTAAGTGAAGTTAATTGGTGCTGTATTTTGAAAGATGAAAAGCAAAGTATTTAGAAAATAGGCAGGAACCCAAAGCTAGCAGGCAATCAAATATTTTATCCTTCATCTCTTTGCCTCAGTTTTTTTATTGAGAGTATTCCTGTCATGGTGATGTGCACCAGCAAAGGGCCCATGAGGAAACTAGCTCAGTGTAAGTTTTGGAGGGTGTGCAGTAAATAGCATGTGGGGCCACACATTGAATGCAGAAGATAAGGAACATTGGCTGCTAATTCTGGGGGCTCCATCCATGCTGAGCAATAAATGTACGCATGAGGAAACAGCAATGCATGTATGTAATTACAAACTATATCATAATGCCCACGCACATAAGGGAGTCAAATTAAGGCTGCACAGTCAACCTGAATTATGGCACTTCCTAACTTTTTGATACATGACTTTGTTACCTTAATTTTTACATATGTAATAATATAGTAGCTACTCATTCAGCAAACAGCTTTATGCTACAGCAGAGGGCAGATAGGCCTTATGAATTTTCTGAAAGATGCACAATTTTCTATTTTTTAAACCAATAACTATCACCGAAAGTGAAGTTGAACACTAATGGTTTTTATAGCCATTGCATGGTTTTATGTATCCCTGAAATCAATTGCCTTAGCTGCTATCTGTGGGATACAAGACATAGAAACTTTATGCGTGTAACCAAAAGAAAGCAATGAGGCTTTTTTATTTCCTTCTTTTTCAGTGAGGTGCGGAAATTATATAATTTCATGAGAGAGAAGAATACTGCAAAATATACTGCAAGCTAGGCGGGTTCCTGCCATATTGGTTTCCATATTTTTTACATCTTATTACAGTAAGATAACATTCAATCTCATCACAGCCCACTTATTTCCCCACTACAGTTTCAAAGACCCAGAGAGGCTTCCCATTTCAGGCTACTGAAGTAAGAGTTGTGATCTGGTAGAGAAGGTATTAGATTGGGAGCCAGGTGACTCTGGCTTTTGACCTGGCTTTGCCTTTTACTGACTGTATGATTTTACATAACTTACTTCTAATGTTATGTACCTCAGTTCCACCATCTGTAAGATGGGTATAACAATAGTGACCAATAAGAAATTATCCTTCTTAAATGCTAATAATAATGGCATCTGAGTAAAGTTCATGTTTTAAAATAAGCTCAACCATCTGCCTCCAGTCAAGCCATTTGTAAAGCAGGTCAATCAAAGAATGGGTAAGAGTATATTATAGGAACATAGGAATTGGTCTGCTACATCAGGCAGTTATGGAATAACTTGCCCATAGGGGAAGTCTCTTCCTAACCTGTTAATGGTTGATTAGTGCTTTGAAGCACTAGGGTTTGTAACCTTTTCCAATATATGGGTTTGTCTTATATCCTTACTAATAAAATAGATGTTCTGCTAGGAGTTGATCATATACCTGGGTATAAGAACCAATAAAAAGCACTTAGGTTGCATCCAGACATGCAGAGGTGTGAGGTTTGGGGTCCTGCAAGCCTCTTCGTGGTGCCACAAACCAGTTAAAACATGCTCTGCACTGCAAATTTGCAGCGTGGGGCCAAAATTTGCTACCAGGATTTCCTGGTAGCAAAAAAAAATTTAAAAAAGCAGGAAGAAAAAGTGGCAGAATGCATGCACAACAAGCATGCTCTGGCACACAAGAGCAGCTGGGTCATCCAGAGCAACAGCTCTGGCTGCTGGCCAGGCCTCTGTGCTGCCTGATCTGTGCCCTTGCTGCTCCAGGCCACCAGGTAAGACTGCTGGGGCCAGCAGCTCTCCCTGGCTGAAGAGTTGGGAGGGCTGTTCAAGGGCAATTTGCTTGTCCCGGGATGAAGCCCATATGCAAGGGTATGTGCTGCTGCAACTTGTGCCACTGCAAGCACACACCCCTCCACCCGGCCTTACAGTGCTATGACTCTGCTTCCCATATACTTGCAAAAACAGAAAATGAAGTTAATTTACCCTATTGTACAGCGCTCTGCATCGCCAGCATTTTAAAACCCGAAAGCCGAGGAGATACTGACATACAGTTCGTCTGAGTCTAAATCCAGTTTGTAAATGCATGATCTTAAACGTGATTAAAACACTACAGAGCCTTTTATTTTAGACGCCTAAGGTTAAAAAAAATAAAAGGCTTTGTCGGTATTCTCACAAGCAGGATGCTTTCCCTTTTGTTATAATTGCCAGCTAACAGGATTAGTCACCTAATGAGGAACTATTTTCTCCAGGAACTAATTACAAACGTTAATTTAAAAAGCAAAAATGCCAAGCATCCAATACCGACCAGCAGGCTTTCCTTGCTACCCCCGCGTTATGTCGGACTAGGCGGCGGCGGCGGCGCAGGTCGCGCGCGCAGCGAAGCGAGGGGCTCGCGTGCGCGCGGGGAGAGAAACCTCCTGCTCCTCCTCGCGCACAAGCCCCAGCCGCCGCTTCAAAACACGAGGCTGGGAGACTTCTAGGACGTCCCATAAGCGGCGCTGCGCCGCGCCGCGCCGAGCTGCAACTTGTGGGAGTTTGGGCCCGAGCTGCAGGCGAGGCTGGGAGCGCGGCCGGGCTGTCACTCCCGCTTTGCTCCCCGGGCGGAGGAGCGCAGCTGTGGGGGTGCCGGCCGCCCCGTTGGCTGACACCCCCGGCGAGGGACGCTCCGGAAAAGCGACGCCTTTCCCCACATGGGCGTTTTGCGGCTTCCTGAGCCCGGGATGCTACCCGCTGCCGATGCAGCATCCTCCCACCCCGGCGGCCGGCGGCGCCCCGGGGCCGGCCCCGGCGCGCACGAGCTCTTACCCAGCCTGGCTCGGAAGCTGCGGACCGTGTTGCCGTCCCCCGGCCGGCTGCCCTCCCGGTTGTAGCGCTCGTACAGTTTAAGCATGTGGACAGCTACCACGTCCCGCGCGATGCCGCCCAGCGCCGGGTCCCCGCGGGGGTGGGCGCCGGCGGGCGAG